AGATGGCCATGGATGACACCTCCTGGGGCTTTGAAGAAACATGGAAAAAGTTAACTTCATGGTTACCCAATCTCTCCTGGTTGAGGCAACTGGTTGCAGGAATATTGGTGTTAATTATTTTAATATTGATTACTTGTGGTATGATACAATGTTCCCTCTGGTGTTGTAAACGGTCTATGTTAAATTACGAAGAATGGAAACGGAATGAAACTAAGCACCAGGTAGAAACGGGATATTATTTCAAAAAGACTTTTGGTGGTAATGGTAATATATAAAATGTTGCAAAAGAATTTGCAAAAGGACAGAAAAAGGGGGGAATTTGAGACAAAGGGGCACAAAATCACAAAATGGGATATAGAAACTTTTATAAGAAGTTTTAAGTAATGTTAAGTTTGATGGCTTTGTAACAGTAGCAATGGAAAATTACTGAGGTGCAGGATACATAGAGAAAAAAAACAGAGTACAACTAGAGAACATACTAAGAATTCTCACAAGATAAATCGTTATAGTTGGCCTAGTTTTAAGAAAAACAGTCTGGAAGAACAGGACACAGGGATAAGGAGTATCTGGGAATGGCAGGTGTCCAGGATGGGCTACAGTTAAACTAACTGATAAGTAGGAGGATAGGAGGATTATTATGTCTCTGGTGCTAACGAACCAATTAAACTGGTATGAGCATCTACTGCGCGTGCTTCAAAGGCTGCCAGAAGTGATCAAGATTGTTGGAAGAAGTAACCGACCCTCAGAGACCACCACCACAATTCTGTACGCATGCGGGGAACTCTCTGGAAAATGATGTAATCCATACGTAGCCTCATGAATATGTATGTATGCCCAGTGACTATATAAGGGTGGCTTGTATAGCAGTACGGGGACACACGTTAGGAGGATTTATCCCCCGTGTCTCCCGGCGCCGCAATAAAGAATACCTGCTTGTCAGCTTGAAAACTTTGTTGGCAAGTTTGTTCCTGGAGTTTTCTCCGAATCAGTCCCCACATAGAAGGATGGAATTTGCTGCTTCTTCAGATGCTTTCCACTCCTTTCCTTTGATTCACTGAGGTCTTCATTAAGAAAAATACAGAATTAGATGAATAAATACTGTGTATTAAGGATGTGATGGGGATGGGGGGTGGAAACATCACGGTATAGAATCATAGAATAGTTAGGGTTGGCAAGGACCTTAAGATCATCTAGTTCTAACCCCCCTGCTAAGGGCAAGGACACCTCACACTAAACCATCTCATGCAAGGCTTCATCCAGCCTGGCCTCGAACACTGCCAGAGATGGAGCATTCACAACCTCCCTGGGCAACCCATTCCAGTGAATCACCACCATCACAGTAAAGAATTTCTTCCTGATATCCAATCTAAACTTGCCCTGTTTAAGTTTGAACCCGTTACCCCTTGTCCTATCACTACAGTCCCTAATGATGAGTCCCTCCCCAGCATCGCTTTAGGCCCCCTTCAGATACTGGATGAACTCTATTCCCCCTGATCTCTTGAAGGCTACTGGCCAGATATTGCAGGAGAACCCACAGGCTTGTTGCTGCTATCAGACCCTGCAGCAAGCCAGGAAAACTGTCCCTGCAGACCTATAGAGTCCATGCAGGGAAATAAAAAGAAAAGAAAATAAAAGCTACATCTTACTGATGCCCCCAGACTGACAAAACATGATTTACTGGAATTCCTCTGCTGAGCCAACAGCTAGCACGCAGAGAGCTGTATCTTCCCCAGTGAGAGTTCTTGTACCATGCTGTTAAAGGATGCTGCTATACACTTACTTAGGCTACCCAGAGGGATTATCAGTTTTTTCTTATTCTTGCTGCTGTAGACCATGTCTTTTGGTTCTTTCTGAGCACTGTAGTAGAACCAGAGAGCTGGAGGATCTTCAGTTAGGTTTGTGTTTTCACCACCAGCCCCTAGGGTGAGGAAGGGGCTGTTGCTAAAGAGCAGCAGCTTCCATAACAAAAAGTAGAGGAAAACCAAAACCTTATTCCAAAACATACTGCATGCAGCAGGCCTTGTCCTTACTGGACTTCTCTTTAAAAATCCAGAGAGGAGGTATGTCTTGCAATTACCCTGGAAGTAATTTGGGAATTTCTGTCATAAATAAAATTATAGTGAGCGGTTCTAGAAATAGCTGGATTTATTTTTTTTTTTATACCCTGGCAAGTCATTCGTATTCCTGCAAGGGTCAATATGCCTTCCCACAGAGCAACAGTGAGCCACGTTTTACTATAAAGTAGCCTCTTCTTTTCTAGATGATGAAGGAGACATTTGAACACTGACATTTTGTACAACCTCTTGTGTTCAGTGTTGGAACACCTGCTCCCTCTTCTGGCCTCCGACATTCCCTCTGCATGGCACCTCTACTACTTCCAATATGAGTCTAATAAAAAACACTCCCCAAGAGCTGGTCTCTTGCCTTCAGCTGCAGTGCGAGGGGGTGTGCATGGCTGAGGATTTCCATGTCTGTGCCTCAGCCAGAACCCGGCAAGGTGAGGATGAAGGGAGAGGAGCAGCGTGAGCAAGGCACAGAGCTCTGAGAGCCTCATGTCACTTGACTGGAGCTAAACACTACCCTGTGAATGCCGCACAGCCCTTCCCTACAGGCTGTCTCCCAGGGCTATGTGTCCCACAGGAACAGGGCTTTCCCCAAGGACACAGCCCATCTCAACACTCCCCTTTGCAGTGCACACAGGGCTTCTCTGAAGGGTGTAGCCAGAAACGCAGATGCTCTGCATGACCCTTGCCATGGGTTAAATACCACAGACAAGTCTGCCAGAACACCAACAGTTAAGGAGAGAGAATCACGAATTGCAGTCTGAAAGAACTGTAGAATCTTAGAAGTCAGGGACCTCTTTGAATAGGAACCTGGAGATGTTACGGGATGTGCTCTGGTGACCAAGCTTGTGTTCACTGCTGGGGGGACCCACAGAGAAAAGGCTGAGTGGGAGGAGGGCTCAGGACTCACCCTGCTCCCCTGGGACAAGCCCTGTCTCAAAGGGTCTCCCGAGCTGCCCTGGGACAGGACCTTCCCTCAACCCTCAGGTGTCACGCAGCATGCAGGAGCACACAGAGAGGGGCTGTCCCTGGCTTGGACAGCAAGAACTGGTGAGATGAAGCTCCTCTCTTGGGTGCAGGACCTTGCTGCTCTCCCTGCAGACCGCAGCACAGGGGGTCAGCCATGGGTGGGGGAGTAAGGGGGGAGTAAGCACAGTCTGGCAGATGTGCCCCATGGAGGGGACCCACTGAACATGGGCAACTGAACCTTGCCTGCTTCCTCCATGCTGAGCTGTAAGTGGTCTTGTCATACAAGGCCTCAGGGAAGGGCTCCCAAGCTCTCCCAGAGCTTCTGGACAGTGGCAGAACTGTCCCAGAACAGGCAGAGAGGGGACAAGAACTCACTCTGCTCCCCCAGCTTTGGCCCTTTGAGCATTGCCTTAGCAAAGGGAAGTGATAAAGTCCCACAGTGTGCAGCCGAGAACTGGGAAACCCTCTGGCCCAGGCAGCTGCTGCCATTGTGGACACAAGCTGTGCTGCCCAGGAGGGTCCCGTCACGCAGGGGTTGGCAGATGGACACATAGGGGCTGTAGGGCGTGATGGTGAGGAAATAAAACTCGTCTGTGTTTGAGGAGGGAAAGAAAAAGACCTGGGCAGCACATCCCAGGAAGAAGGTGGCCCTGGTGTTCCAGAGGGAATTGGCAATGGGTTTAGTGACAGTGGTGGACATGGAGCATAGGTCCAGCAGGGGGAGGTCGAGGAGGAAGTACAGGGGGTGTGGAGGCACTGGTTGCAGGCTGTGGTGGTGATGATGAGTTCATTGCCCAGGAGCACAGTCAGGTAGATGCCCAGGAAGAGTCAGACCTGCAAGAGCTGCAGCTCCCACGTGTCCGCAAATGGCAGGAGGAGGAAGTGGGTGACGGAGCTGCCACTGGACATTTGCTTCATCCTGTTATGGGGAGCTTTCCAAAAGGGAAAAGACAGTGACAATTTAGGGGAGAATTCTCTGAGTGAAACCTGATGCATTTCTCACAAAACACCCTGAAACTGCCTCTTCTCTCGTTTCAGGAAGACTTTTGGCAGGTCCCTTCCATGAGCTCTGGTTGGTGCAGGCTGAGGGTGTCACTGAAAGGGGGGGCTCTGGTGGGGGCTCTGGCAGAGCCAGTCCTGCCCTCCAGCAGTAAGGAAAGAGGAACATGGCGGGAGCGCGTACGGGGGTGCTGTGTCAGATGAAATTCACATGAGATATCAAAGAGCTTTTCGAAAGATCTCACCTGTCCATCAGCTTTGGTCTCAGCTGCCCTGTGCTGGCTCTTTCAGCAGGGAGATGACTTCACCCAGCCTGCTCCAGCACACTGGGGTCCTGGGGTGCAGGGACTGTGCTTGGAAGGACAACCCTGGGTACCCCTGGCTGCACAGCTGGCTGCACAGCCCTGAAACCACCCCCAGGAGAAGGCAGCCATCACACACACCCCTTTGATGGTGCAGCGGGGAATCTGATGCTTCTCCGGCCCCGCTACTGCGAAATTAAAAGGGGGAGCTCACAAGCCCCTGGCAACCCCAAGGAGCTGTCCCAAGGATTGTTGGTGACCCACATCTGCTGCCTGCAGGCTGCCCTGTAGCCATGTCATTGGGGTCTCCTACCCAACCCCCAATGGACCTGCCCTACTTTGGAGACAGATCTTCTACACCACTCTGATCTGACAAACCATTCATCCCTCTTTTTTATTTGTGTTCCTTTTCTGCTCTGGTTTCAGTTGAGGTTTTCTGGTTTTGCCATCTTTCCATGAACCTGCACTAGATAAATGCAGGTGTAGGCTGTGTTTCCCCCGTTGCTCTCCACAGTAAGTTTGATGTGTGAAAAGGCTCTGTGTGTTTTCTGTGAAGAGAGTGACAAGAAAACTGAGGCGTTAAGTGTGACAGTGCAATTGACGTTTCTCCCCCTGCCCACCCTGTTCCTGCTGGAACAAGCTTCCAAAAGTGCGTAGACATCTGAGGCTCACTGCTGGTACTGGGGCTCCTGCAGAGACTGGAGGCATGGGAAGGAAGAAGACAGCCTCTGCAGCCTGGCCTGGCGGGGACTGCGACTCCCTTCCCTTTGCCCCTTTCCCTCTGCAGCTTGCTCTGTGCTGACAGAGAGGCTGGGGAGGTCCTCCTATGCGTGAGAGAGTTGGTGTGAAAGCCCATTAAGCTCCCGCTATGTTCTCTGCCTGCCTTCCTTCTGGCAGGTGTGAGGGCACCAGGAGAAAAGGGACGTGTTGTGCTGGGAGGAAAGGACACTGTCCAGCCTGTCAGCAGGCCACAGGGTGGAGTGACAATGCTGCCCAGCAGCTTTCCCCACTAGGCATCCCTATTTCTCCTGGCACAAAGATGTTGCTTTGGTGGAGAGGCCATGTGTGCAGCTGGCTCTGCTGAAGGCAACAGCTGCAGCCAGGGGTCTCTCAGGACTTAAGCTCCCACAGGAACAACCCTGCCCTTGCAAATCTCTTGCTGCTACCCCCACCGCATGCTACTCAGTCCTCCCAACTCCACCATGCCTCCTTGGCAGTGGTCTGGGCCCCTGTGCCAGGGGAGAGAGCATTCACGCTCTTCCTGCCACGGACTTGCAGGCACTCCTGGTTTTCTCCTGGGCATCTTGCCCTCGTGCATGGACCGTACCTTCAGAGGGAAGGTTTGAATGTCCTCTTTTGCCACTCTGTACACGATCATCCCAAGGAGAGTTTCCTCTTCTGTGTCTGCATTCACTCCCTCAAGGGAAAAGCACAAGGAAGAAGGAGAGAAGCTCAGACTTGTCCCAACAAAGAGGATGTTTGTGTGTGCTGGATCAGCATGTACTGCATGCTGATATGCACACTGCATCCTGGGGCTCTAGCAGTAGGTAAGCACTGTGTCCACCTTGTGTTTTACTCAAGAGCCCTGAGGTGCTCTCACCAGAATGAGTCTTGAGAGGGATGGAACCTCTAGAGCCCCTGAAGTATCCTGCAAGCGCGCTGCAGGGCTTAGGAGAAAGCAGGGCACAAACGTCCAAGGATGCACAAAGCAAGCAAGTTCCAGTCACAGCTTTCCCCCAGGGCCACATGCCAGCCAGAAGCACCCAGCAGAGACTTACAAAGACAGCGATGTCTCGGGGGGCACTGGTGACGGTGCCAGGTGAAACGACCTCTTTGTAGATGTGCTGCACGCTGACAGCAGTCAGATGGACTCGTGCTGGCAACAGGATGACCACCTGGCCCCGGTCCCCTTGTAAAGGCCAGCAGTTTCCTGGGGAAACATCCAGCTGCAATCAGAATGGGAGAGCAATGAAACGTGAGCCCATGTTCAGTTCAACTCAGCTACTCATGTAGCTTGAAGCACGGGTGCTGGTGTGTCTGTGGGGTCTATTCCGGCTTGAAAATGAGGCGTGTGTGAGGAAATGGACAAAAGTGGCAGCCTCTCAGTATTATGGAAGGAGGAGAATACCTGTTACTAAGCCGACCTAGTCAGGGCCTTACAGATACACCTCTCTGCCCAGTGGCTCTGCAGAGGACCCCCTGCCTCCCACCCCGCAAAGGAACTGTTAGGGCTGAGTATGAAAATGAGGTCACCAGGGAGAAAGTTGTTCACCCAGCTGTGACTCAGGACTGTGGGCAAGATGCAGCAGTTGAGCTCTGTTCCCCTCCTGAGGGGAACTACTGCTTTCTATCAAGCCCAGCCCTGAGTTCAAGCTTTGGTTTCAGGCAACAGATCAGCACTGTGGGCTTGAGCATTACCACTGGACTGAGAGGACAACCCCTCAGGTCAGTCCCCAGCTTCGCAGGAAGGAAACATGCACTGGTGATTTCTGCTACAATACCTGGAAAATCGTATCAGGAGGGTTGGGAGTGCACAAGAACCCTATAACCCTGCCGACCCAATTGTCTTTCGAGTCATAGGTCTTCAAAGTTCTCCGCATGTCAGTGGTGGCACCTGTAAGGAAGGGAGAGCAGGTGACTGCAAGAGGCCACAAGCTCAGAGGACCCTGTGCTCAGACCCTCTTTCTGATGCTGCTGGACAGCTCCACGTCTGTCAGTCCTCTCCATCTCCATGCTGGTAGGGGTGCCTAGCTGTGCAGGACGACAGCACCCATATGCCTGGTGTCTGCTCCTCACAGCGCCACAAGTAGAAGGTCTGAGGGTGCTGGTGACTGACAGCAGACCAAAGCTGAGGGCTTGCTGTGTGGGCAATAAAGGATGACCCAGCCATTTCCTTTCCAAATGCATTGATGAGGGAGCCCCTCCATCAGCCCTGGAATGTGTGTGGGGCAGTGCCAGAGGCACCTGCGCAGAGGCGGGACCAGAAGGGAATCCAACAGAGCCACTGCCACAGACTTGCTCTCTGACCTCATGAAGCTCCCCGGCTTTCAGCTCCCCTGATTCAGAGAGCAGCACCTGGAGGACATCCTCCTTTGGGGAGTGCTACTGACAAGTGCATGGCAAGGAGAATGGGCTGCTGTGTCCATACCAGAACTTTTCAGGGTCCAGTCAGATCTTCCAATGTAGATTTCCGAAGCCAGCTCCAGCACTGCCTGGTTCATCTCCTGGGAAAGACACAAACAAGCACAGAAAATGAGCACGTCAGCAGTCAGTTCAGCATGGCTACCAGCACCCAGAAAGGCAAAGGGCAAGCCTTGTCCAGTAAGCTGAGAGACTGCGGCTGACGTGAGCCACGAGCACAGTATCTGTGGCCACGACCATGGGGTCCTCACTCCCTTGTTCCCACCTTCCATGCTCAGGCCATGTCCACGATGGCTGGCCATGGGAGGAGGCCTGGGACTCACTGCTGCTCAGGGACCAGCCAGAGCAGCCAGAGGTGCCCATGCCAAGGGAAGGATGCTGGAAGACCCCCACTGCCTGAAGCACCAGGTAACCTGGGCCCAGAGAAGGGCCTGGGCAGTGCCAAAGCTCACCCAGCAGTCCCCTGGCAAAGGCTGGCTTGCTGCAATCAGCAGGCTGAGCCCACCACTAATCCCAGGTAGTGCTTCCTCCGGGCTTCTGCCCAGCCAAGCCTTCTTCTCCAAAATGCAGAGTTACCTTCTTCAATCTGCTTATCTCCACCTCCAGCTGAGCCACCTTGTCCAGGAGAACCTGCAGCTTTTGGGTTTGTTCTATCCAAAAGATGTGCAAAATCCTGCAGGAAAAGGAAAGCAGATGTTGTCAGAGAGCAGCGCATTCCCTCTGCAAGGAGCAGACACACAGAGGCTTTCTACTTTGTGAATGTTTGCCTTCCTCCCCAGGCTGAAAGACAGGCAATGGCCAGAGGGAAGTACAGGAGCTGTGGCTTTTAGAAAAATGGGTGCAGGTAGCACAAGGTTGTTCTGGGTTCGGCTATAGCAGTAATTTTTCTCCTTCTTAGTAGCTGGTGCAGCACTGTGGTTTTGACTTTCAGCCTGGGAACAGCACTGATAACACCGATGTTTTTAGTCGGTCCTCAGTAATGTTTACTCTGACTAAAGACTTTCTGAGTCTCATGCTTTGCCAGGGAGGAAGGGAAGGCAGGAGGAAGTAGAGACAGGACACCAGACCCAAACTAGCCAAAGAGGTATTCCATACTACAGCACGTCATGCCCAGTATATAAATGGGGCAGTTACCCGAAAGGGCTAGATCACGGCTCTGGTCGGGCTGGGTACTGCCCAGGGGCTTTACTCTTGGCCTTCCCTGAGAACGGCCACAACATGAGCAGTGCTCGTGAGAGTGGGAAGCTGGCTGAGGAACACCCCTTGCTCTCCCCTTTGCTTGCACTGGCCCTCAGACATCTCCTTGCTCCCTGTGTCCAACACAGAAACACATAGTACATACATATTCCTTTCCCCATCTTTGCTTTACCAGCAAAGATGCAGCCTGCAGTGGAGGAAGAGGAAGAAGTCGGCAGCGGCAGCAGCAGCAGTCCCCACTGCTCGAAGCACAGCCGGCAGCACAGCCCAGTTCTCAGCCCCTCCCTCCCTGTACCCTGACCTCTGTAGCATGAGGCTTCTGCCTCCCGAAAAGCCCAACAGCAGAAACAGGTAGTACATACACAGTGAAGATGCACACGATCAGCAGGTATCTCCACAGGGATGCAAGGGTACCTGCCAGATGGCAAACGAGGCTGAAGACCGTCCCTGAGCAAAGAAAGCAGACGAAAGTTAGGCCTGTCTCTTGAGGTCTCTTCTGCAGGATGCTCAGCCAAGAGTGTTTTGGCTCCCTGCAAGGAGGCAAGCACTGACTCCTAGGCACCACCTCTCTGGGGTGAAGAGCAGGGCAGCCTGCATTTCTCCAGCCACTTGTGACACTTTGCCAGACTTCTGGCACAGTGCAGCTCTGAGTTCACCCCAAGAACTTGGCAGCAAGAACCAGTGCTGAGCTTACTTGCAAGTGCCATGGCCTTGTCATGATACTTTGGTGGCCCTCGAGCGGGTGAGCTGGGAGTGGACTGAGAAAAGCATTCCCCCTGTCCCACCTCTGTGAAAAGGCTCCTGTGGGAGGAAAAAAACCAAAGATGCCGATTGCTCGCAGTGCTTGCTGGGAGAGCAAGCCATGCTTTCAGCCAAGGCCCACCAGAAGGGAGATGGGCAATGCACAGGGCTCTTGTGCAGAAGCGTCTGTCAGCTTCCCCATGCTGATCCATGATCTGCTGGCTGTATTAGGCCGTGTCCCAGATACCATCCTAACCTGATGCCCCATGCACGAGCAGCCAACTTCGTACCTACGCTCCTGGCAGTGGCTCTGCTCTGCAGCCCCTCCTGCTGACCGTTGATCAGTCGTGCTCTCTAAGGAGATATTTAAGGGTACTTACTTTCTTTTCCGCGGTGCCTTTCTCCTTGCCATCTCTGCGCAAAGGCAGCCTTCCTGCTCAGCTCTTCCTCCTAAGCCTCAGCAGTCTGGGCTCCTCAGGCAAAACCAGCTCCAGCAGCAGCTCCACGCTGCCCTTCCACAGGAGTGTCCCTGCCTGGGGCAACAGTCACGTGCAGCTGTGGGCTCTTTCCCTGCCCCACAACGCTGTATGGGTGCCCGGTTCTGAGTCAAGAGTGGTGGCTCTGATGTCACAATGGAGCTGAGCAGGGCTCCCTCTGGGCTCCCCTGGGGCAACATGGGGACTGGACCAGACTAGGGCCTGCAGTGCATGGGAATGGGGTGAGCTGGAGCTGGGCACTGTGACCAAACCAGCACTTCCTGGCCCTAGGCAAATACAGCTTATCAGCCACACATACAGAGAGGAGGGATGACAAGAATAAACATCTCTCCTGTTGCCATGGGAACTCTGTTGTCCCTGCAGTTAGGTCCAAGTGGCTGTGTGAGGTCAAGCGTCTGCTTCTGGGTGTCCCTCTGGATGGCCACATCCTGCTCGGGGACAGAGCTGGCCTGGCCAAGGATGAGGGCATTGAAGGGACATCCCTTGGGGACAAGGGCCTTGGGTGAGCAGTGGCCGAGTGCCATCCAGGGACGTGGCTGGAGCCAGAGCCTTGTTGGGGATAGAGTCATTGGGACCCACCATCTGGAGGCAGCCCTGCAGAGTGGGACTCCAGTGATCTGGGTGGGTATGGTGGCCCCAGGCAGTGGCAGGCTGGTGGCCAGAGCAGGGGATATTCTGCTTCGTTCTCTGCACTGGGGAGGCCATGGCTGAGGACTGGACATGACTGGGGCCTGCAGTGCATGGGAAATGGGGTGGGCTGGAGCTGGGCGTTGTGAACACCCCAGCACTCATCCAAGCCGAACCCTCATCTCCCAGGGCCCAGCATTCACCAGTGCTCCCCATTGCCGCCCGTGCCTGAAGATCCCAGTCACCCAGCAGTATCCCCACCTGCCAGTGCACCTCAGCTGTCCTCCCACCTCCCAGTGTTCCCTAATCCTGGGATCCTTCATGCCCCAGGAAGAGGGGTCATTCCCAGCCCATTGTTTAGCCAAGGGGTGCAGAGGGGGCAGGGACAGTTCTGCTTAGAGACCCCTGGTCTGTGGCTAGCATAATCCCTGAGGGAGACCTGGGGGGAAAGAGAGTCCTGAGAGGCAGGCGGTGCTGGGAGATGGTAGTGCTGGGAGGTGAGGGGCACTGGGAGATAGGGCGATCTGGCTTTGGGGGGCTGGTGGAGATTGCCTTTGTGTTGGAGCAGTGGGCAGACACCATAGGACCTCTGTCTGTCAGGGGTCCTTTGTTCCCCTTCACCACCCCCAGATGCCAGGGCACCTGCATGTCCAGCTACCCCGTGGAGGAAGCTGGACTGATGCCGGCAAAGGTGGCTGAGGCCATGCCTGAGGCAGGGGTGACTCTGTGCTTAGGCCGGGCTTGCTGCCAGGGCTGGTGTCTCTGCCAAGTCTGCCTTTGCCCTGAGGGCTCTCGGGGAGGGCAAGGAGGAGTCCTTGGAGGGATAAATCTGCCCCTCACCTTCTCCAGCCTCATCCAGGACTCCCCACACCGCAGAGGAACATGAAGGTCGCAGTGCTCAGCGTGGCCCTGCTCTTCAGCATCCTGCTGTGCACCCCAGGAGATGCTCATGTGCACAGCAGATGCTCAGGTGCAACCAGTCTTTAAACTACTAATAAATAGGTCCTTTATTTCTATATGCCTCCATATATTTATATGTACACTGTAATGTGATCAGGTAGTGGATTTTTACTGAAAGCTTCATCCCAGCCCTGGAACTAGGACTTTTCTCAAGGGTATCTTAGAGCTGTCTGTGAAGGAGAAGGGGTATTGCAGTGCAGCAGAAATAATGTCAGAATCCCAGCCCCTTCAGCATGTCTTTGAAACCCTCCCACTGTCCTGCACACCATTAATCAGTGTCTCTTGCAGGACTGGTCCAGGGGCATCTGCATCAATAGACAAAAGCAGGACTGCAGCAGAAGTACCATGAGCACCTGGCAGAGCTGGACTAGGACTAGTAACTGGTAGTGAGGGTGCTAGTGCTTGGTCCAAGTGTGTGGTACATGACTGTTTGAAGGGTGAAGTGGTGGTAATAGCATATCCTGCCTTTCATTTACCATTTTTCATGAAGCTACTACCATCAGTAAACCAAGAATCAGCATCTTCCAGAGGTTTTTCTTTCAAGTCTGGTTGGCTCGAATATACAGCCTCTATGGTGGTCAAGCAGGCGTGTGTTAGTGGTTCTGTCAATTGTTCCTGCAAAAGGATGCTGTTCACAGCATTAGTGACCATAATTTCTGTATCATCTTGTTCTACAATGGTGGCCTGGTATTTAGAAAAAACATGAAGGAGATAACCAGTGGGCTCCTTTCTGCTCCAGGACTGGTGATACCACATGGGTCACTAGTAAAGTAACCTTTTGTCCCAAGGTGAATTTGCAAGCCTCTTCAATATTCATGATGACTGCTGCCACAGCCCTTGGGCATCCGGGCCATCCTTTGCTCGCTTCATCCAGCTGTTTTGAAAAATATGTCACTGCCCTTCTGCAGGGTCCTAGTTTCTGAGCAAGGGCCCCCAAAGCTATTCCCTGTTCTTCACAGGAATGTAGCCAAAAGGATTTAGTCACATCCAGGAGTCACAGAGCTGCAGTTCTCACTAGCTCTGTTTTTAAATTTCTAAAAACCCCCTCTGCTCTATCAGTCCATTCTAAAGAGGGAGAGTTTCCTTTCAACAGTTCATACAGTGGTCTTACCAGAACACCATAATCATGGATCCAAAGT